AAAGGGACGCGTGGTCAATGGTCAAATGACTACAGCAAGCAACAAATGAGTACGCCCCCCCCCACCCCCCTCGGTGTTTGCCAAGTCGTAGAGGCAGTCCGGAAGGTAGTTCAAGTAGGGGACACGGAAACGTCGGTTTCAGGAATGCTGTTTGCGGATGATTTTGTCGGTATGTCGGACACCCCTGAGGGACTGCAACTGCAANTCGAGCCCTTCGAGATAGACCACCGAGCCCGCGACCGACCCCCCTTTACCTTCCAGCCTGAAAGTAGCGTTTCAGAGCGAAGTCCTTCCAACGACAAGGGGCGAGGTCGTGTTCCTCTCGATCTGGAGCTAGGCCCACCGTCGGTGCTTCGTTTCGTTTGCGCTTGGCTTGCAGGGGAATCCGGAAACAATGAGAATAAACTGCTGGGGCGGGGCGATTTCTTTTCTTGTTGTATCCGGAGAAAATGAACGACCGCACCCTCCTCGGCGTGTGCCGTGGGCACGACAAGGCCAAAATCGCGCTTGTTTGTAGTTTTGCATTTTGGCGTGTGGAGGCAGATCACGGAAACGTGTGAGGAAATGAAATTTCGCGCGGGAGAATTGACCCCAACTAGCCCTGAGTTTCCCCCGGCGGTGGCGGGAGGTGCTCCATTGATTGCTTGTGGCATACTCCGTAGTGCAAGGCGTTAAATCGCTGGCCACGGGTGAAGCTCCTTCGGCACGGAGGACCTCCCCTTCTCCAAACAGATACGACAACGTCAACAACACTCGGCTACTCTCTATTCGTTTCTACGGGACATTCGAGATTCCAGTGGCTTTCTCACTACTGCCCATGGTCCAGACGAAACGACCGCCACCAACAAAAAAAGGTTTTCGTCCACTACCGTATCATATTGGATAAAAGGTAACATCTCTCGACAGGCCCACTTCGTACACACGAAGTATAATTCCTGCAAATTCCCTGCCGAGTGTGCGGATAAACCCGGTCGTGCAAGACGCCTTTGACCCTTCAGGAAATCTTAAGGGCGGTGGCGGTCGTTGGAGGCAGGAAGTTGGGTGGGCATGCAGCGGTGGGTGATGTTTTTACTTTGGGAGACTTTATGATCTTGTTCATCCATGCCGCGGAGCACGCTGTCGTTGAGCAATCTTTGGGCACCCGGTGTCGTCGCCACCTCGTCGAACAGACTACCAAATAGAGTATCAAGCGGCACATTAACAACACGTGAGGGTGGGGGGCCGGGGAGTTTTTCACACACACGGCGGCGAAACCCCTCCCCTGTCATTTTGTTGTTGTACATCTCGATAATTTTTGCACGTGTATTTGTTGTGTTTCGGTGCACGCCAAGGCAGAAAAAATACCCCGGTGTCTCTGAACTCTGCATCTGTACGTTTCAACATGTCACGTGAAAATGTTGCATCGTTCCCGGCGCACTCGGCATATCAGTAAAAACGCGACCGACCTTCTTCGTTCTGAGGATAAAACTCAACCCCCGGAAGGGCATTTGTTTGCGCACAAAATAAGCGTGTTCTGCGTGGGAGCCGGCGAGCAGAGCTGCGGTAGTCCTCGGTCAGTTTGCACTGCGGTTGCCATGACGTCATCAATCGTCACCCCAAGACCAATTTTGTTCAACAATCAGCGCTTGTTTGTTCGACAACATGTCATGAACTTGCCAGGAAAGGGTGGCATCCACGAAAAAAACAACGCGTGGATCGGCAAGCACGTGCATCTTTCCGGTTGGCAATTGGGTTTTTACAATTTTTCGTATCGCACGCTCCATCAATAACAACACGAACAATCAACATCGACTTCGTCCTTCTAAGGCGATCACCTCCTGCGTATAATCTACCAGGCATCCGTCTGCCTCGTTTCAATACTTTAAAGGTACTTGAACACACCAAATGACCTCCCCCGTCCCACATCCACCGGGCAATACAAACAAAACGCGGAACCATGGAGAGGTAACCGCGGTACTAGGTAATTTTGGGCAGCGATAGTCGGCTCTGCGCGTCGTGGGATACCTTTGTTATTACCGCACACAATTACATCTAGGGATACGTGTTCTTGACGCTTTGGTCCAACGCACGCAGAACTCCAAAGCACCATATAGGTACACATCCAGGGGGGGAGGGGGGCGATACACAGGGAATTATTGACTGTTTCACAACCAAACATGTCAATGTGTACACAACCAGATACATACAAACACGTCACGTTTACTTTTCAATTACAGCACAGGAGGCACGCACTACAAAATATTTTTGCTTTTTTTCAGGAAGGAAAGCACCGTGGATGGGATTGAACAGGCATTACACTATTTTTGCTGGGGATGTTGGATGGTACAATGGGAGTTTTCCCACGCTGTGCGCGCATCAACATTCCTCGACAGTACTGCTCCCCGGCTCTCTACCGCCGAGAAAACTCCCGTCTAAATACTCTACCATAGAATATTTCCCATAGCTTCAAACCGCCCGCTGCTTCCTTCCAGGCCACAAAAATGAACACTCACAACCGGGTTGACTGTCTGTTCAACTGCCAAAGAAAACGATAGCACTCACAACAAGTTACTGTAGCACAGACAAGTCCATGGCAATGCTATTGTGCTCCTCCACAAAGGCGACCATTTTCTATACCCAACGGAATGCCGCGCCGTTGCTGTTCGGGGGCTGCTCGCCCGCCAGCAACACCTCCACGCTGATAAACGTTCGTACACACACAGTTACCACACATGAATGAGACAGCATGTCCCGTAATATCGTTATATCCTAGTAGGAGGGTGCCACACCTACACCCTCGTATACTACTGTACAAAAAACAAGTTAGCACACCACCCATACAGCTGCTCATATACCTCCCCACTCAGCAGATAGCACGTTCAACATTCTTTGGTCGCCAAAGAGGTCGGGGGGGGGTGTTCGTCCCCAGCGACGACACGTTGTCTACACAAGAAAACGCACAAGGATGACATCCGATCACGTCGTCAACGATTCCGTTTACACGGGAGGGTAGTGTCTAGGGTTAGCCATGCAGGTATTCGAAGGGCATGCGATACGCCATGCTGAACACGAGTGACACTTCTGACTACCACCGCAAGGGAGACATTGCAAGTAGAGTCCATGAGGGAACCACTATATTCCCACGTCATTCCCAGCCCCCCTCCCCCTCCCCGTAAGTAGCCCGCGTGCTTCCATCGGACGTAGTTCGTCCCTGCCCGCCGTCAGCAGCGTGGCCCCGTGCACTCGGCTCTCATAACCCACCATCCAACACCAATCATTACCCTCGCCAGACCACCAACCCAACCATCCAACCATCCAATCAAATCGCATGAAACCAAACCAGGGCCTTTAGAGTAGACTTTTGGGGGGAAACGCTGACCGGATCTACCCGTACCAGGAAAGTCGCCCTCGCAGGAATCCCGTTTCACATCCGGGGCGACAACAACAAACGAACGCGCCTGGTTTCACATGCACTCCGCGTACTCGTTCATGTGCTTGACGCCCTCGATCACCTCGTCGGGCACCTTGTTCTTGAACTTTAGCTCGAGGTTGGTGTTGAGACCGGACTCCTCGAGGAGGACCTTGGACGCCAGTACCGCCAGGCTGGGCGGAGATCCCCTCACCTGTAGTTTGGACGGCGATGGACGGCACAGGGGGGGGGGGGTACTCATAGTCGTGCATGCCNAGCGCCGTGAGATATTCGGCGAGTCGCATGAAGGGTGCGCTGCATCCTGCTAAGGGTGTTCGGCATCTTGTGCATACTTCCTTCCTTGCGTACGGAGAACAGCTGCGTATGACTGACTCAACTAATTTTCTGGTGCTTTCACTTCCAGTGACAGTTGTAAGCACTGTGTAACTGCCTCGAGGGTGCTTGACCATTTTGACACAACGTGGTGCGATCATCCCCCTGCGCGGAGTGAGGCTTCTCCACCCCGCACAACATGATCTACTCGACCACCATTATGGTTACCGCCAAAAAAAAAAACAGAGGTAAAAAAGAAAGAACGGTAACCTGGTTGCCGAGTTCACGAAGTGAATTGGCTTGTTTTACAACGTCGTTGCCAAGCGACGAAAACCCAATCCCGGGGGGCGGGGGCGGCACAGGGGTGGTTAACAAATGTGTTAGGGGCATGAGAGATGGGGTCGTCAAGTAGGGGTTCAGAAAACTGACAGCGGGAACGTACAACATGCCCGGTGACGGGATTGTGGTGGAGAGAGCTTGGACACATAAAAAGCAAGAATAAGAATAGCGCAACCAGAGGAGGCGAGCAACAAACAAAACAAATAATGCCACCGACAAAAAAGGGATAATGGTGTTTGGGCTACGCCTGTGATGGTAGGAAGTAGAGGTTTCCAATGGGCATGAATACAGACTTGTGTTTTTCGCCAAACAAGAAGCAAGACGCATGCCAAATTTCCAACAGATACAATTGATACCAGTCGCATTTGTGTGGTTGGGGGTGATGGACGAAAGGGTTTGAGTGGTCAGCACACGTTGGCGTGTGTACGAAACGCCGAAAGCGGTAATTTCCGGGCGTAGAATGACGTCAACCCCCGAGTTTCGATGGTGGGCTGTTAAGGTTCCATTTCAAACCCGCAGCCTACATGGCGCACACCGACAAGGCGGGTGGACGCACAACATGGGTGAAATCTCCGCACAACCTTTCAGGGAGTACCTCTAGGCACACGCATCACACCCAGAGGAACAGCAACAACAACAACGCCATACATCACCGCACCCCACCACCAACAGCAAAAAGAACAACACACCAGCAACAACTCGTGCGTCGTACCTGATACCGCCACACGTCGTTGTAGCGGATGTCGCCGTTCGCGCCGCTGAACAGATACAACGCCCCGTCGTGGAACACCGCAGAGTGGAAGGCCCGGGCGGGGGGGCTGGCGTCGCCCCCTTCCATCACCAGACGCCTCCAGCACGCGGACTTGCAGTTGTACACGTAAAAGTCCGCGAGTCGGCTGAGCTCGCCCGTGAAGCCGCCCCACAGGTAGATGTCTCCACCAACCGGGTCGAAGCTGCAGCTGTGGGCCACTCGCGCCTTCGGGAGGTCTCCCTGTTTTGGATTGCAAGGGGTGGTGCATAACGAAGGAAACGGCATTGATATGAGGGAGTACCACCAAAGTTTTGGGGGATATTGACGCAGGAGCCGAAGCAGCTTTTCATGAAGCTCAGGGAGAACACGATATTTATTGTTCATGGAAAATCAATAAAGCTGTTCCTGGTGACAGTAGCAGCGGTGAAAAACAGCGGGAGAGATAGAAGCGGCCGCTGAAACCGTGACGGTGGTCCGCACATCCCACAAGAGAGACAAATAAAAAACAATTATCTATGCTACTACTATTGCACACAAAACTCTAGTACCGGTGTGAAATCGCCAAAAAAAATGACCGCGAACTAATGAAAATCGTTGAACCGAAGGTTTGTTTTTCTTCACGATAAATGTTATTGTTTTCAAACAAACAAACAAAAAGACACGCGCTCACCTTCATCTCCGTCTCGTCCATCTCCCATACCAGGGTCTTGAGGTCCAGGCAGTAGAGGTCGATGCTGCTCTGCTCGGGCTTGAAGCAGCCTCCGCCGATGACGTACATCTTGTCGCCGACAGCGACGGCCTGGTGCTTGTACCTGGGAGAAGGCTTCCTCCCCGTGGTGGTCAGCTTCCTCCAGCGGTTGCTGCACACGTTGTACTCGAAGAGGTCGTTCGAGTAGTGCAGCCCGGTCGACCCGCCGAACAGGAGCAGGTTGTCCCCGTAGGTGCAGACGCTCTGACCGTAGAACTTGCACGGGGTCTCCTCCGAGTCCGTCAGAACGCTCGTCCAGGTGCGCGTCCGAGTGTTGTACTCCACGACGTCCGCCCTCAAGCTGTCCATCTCGACCCCCGTCCCCCCGGCGACGATGACCGTGCCGGGGGTGGGGCCCTGGCACATGCCGAAGGACGCGCGGGCGTGGATAGAGTCGCCCTTCGGGGCAGCTCGCTCCCAGCGGTGCATCTGCAGGTCGAAGACGTACATGTCGTTGAGACACGTGATCTGGTCCTCGTCTCCCCCGCACCCTCCGAAGAGGTAGGCCTGGAAAATCGTAGCAGCACCGGAAGGATGACAATCGCTGAGAAAAAAAAGGGGGGCTGCACACGTGTTTGAGGTTTTGTTGCTCAGGAAAAATTCGCAACAAATCATCACGCTTACCCCATCAATACGTACCCACAAGTGCTGTGGATGGGTTTCGAATTTGTTGTTGTTGTTGTTGTTGTTGTTGTTATCGCGAAAAGAACTCGTGGGATGAAAAAAAAGGATTGAGGCAAGCACCGCAGGAGGCAGGTGAGGAATGAACTTCTGAGGAATAGACATGTTAAAGAGTGTCTTGTGCGACCTTCTTTCCCGTGACCGCGGCCATCTGATGCGCCCAATACAACACCTAAAGGTTCAAAGATCCACGTGCAGAACAAGCGAGATGACACACACAGAAGAAAAGTGCCGAACAGAAAACAGGGTAGCGAAAGGAAAAATGCCCCTAAGTAAACGGACGTGTATATGTCCATTGCTCTAACTGGAAGCTAAAAAACGAACGCCTACATTGCTTGGCACCTGCGAAACCGCGAAGGTCCGACTCGATACAACAAACTGACGCAGGATAAATCAGAACGGTGAGTAATACCTCCTTGTGTGTCCCTGTCCCACAAAGCCTACCGCGGCAACCTTTGTTTTGTTTTCGTGAGCGTAAGTGCTGCGGACTGCGGTTCCCCGCAGGATACCACGGCCGGAAAATGGGGATCAACTCGCGTGCTACGGTAGAAGGAGTGCGATCGCTGTTCTCCGAACCCCCTCCTCCGCTTCATCGGAAAAGCGTGCTCTACATACAAGCCAACGGGGACCAAAGCGTGCGACAGTACTCGCACAAGTCTACCAGAAGGTCCTATCACACCGCTCGAGTTCGGCGGGATCACCGTTCGGGGGCTTGCAGCGAACCTTTGATCTCGACAGTTGACATCGTATTCGAGTGGCGTTCCCGTTAATGCCACACTTGCCGCGCTGTTTCTCTCGGAGTTGAATCTGATGAGAACCGAGCCCGACTATTGTACCCCTTGTCAAAATGAGTTGTGGTGAAAGCAGTTTCGGTGAGGTCATGTGTAGGCTATTTCATGCATTAATGTTCCCGCCTCGCGCACCTTGTTTCCTATTACCGCAACGTCGTGGCCGGAGCGCGGTGAGGGCGGTCGTCCGCTTGTCTGAAGCCTCACCCACCGTCCCATTGTCGTCGTCTTACACTTCTTGTGCTTTCCGGCGCATTCTGCGCATGTCATTGTCGAGCATTTCCCCCCCATGCTATTACCCATGAGGGTCCGTCCACCTCCTGGTGGTTCTTCGAACGTGAACTGAGCCTTAGTGAAGATACAAGGACGAGGTTGAGGGAGGTGTGGTTTCGTCAGCAGAAGCAAGGAGAGTTTTCTAGCGTAGCCTCTCCTACTGTAGAGAACAACAAAGCAGCTTCTACCGGTTAGTTCAAGGCTGCCCTTCTCGTGCTACTTCTCGCCGCGGCGGTTCTCTCAGGGGGTTTAGGTCGCCACACCATGACCACATGAGTCGAGCTTCAATAAAAGCGGGATAGACGCCCCATCTTCAAAAATATTGATTGGTCTTCGATGTTGCTGTAGCACGATACGTTAACACGACAGCGTGAATTGCAGCGAGGTCAACTCGGGGAGAAAGGACGGACTTCTTCGGACACCCACTCGGGGGATACAGTCACGGGAAGCGCCTCGAAGGTGCCCACACTCTATCATCTGCTTCGGGCGCGAGTGGGTAGACAGCTGTGGAGTCTATGTGACGATCCCGCTACGACTCGACCACTCGGTTCAACGAAGGTTACGTGCTCGCGTCAAAAAAGAACCAGGCAGCACACACGCGGTGGTGGCTCGCAGTACCCTCGCCCCACCAAACTGCAACGATGCCCATGGTTGGCAGACACCTCGACGACACTACTAGAGGACCCGAACATCAAGCGATTCAACCGGGGGTGGAGCATACCGTCTTGTTTTCGGTGTCAATTAGTGCCTCCGCGAGTACCCCTGCTGGGTGTTGACGTCCTCTCACCAAACAGCTGAACGAGCTCCACAGCGTCCACTCCGTAGTACACCAGTTCACCTCCTCGAGAAAGTCTCAGCCACAAGCGCCAGAAGTTGTTATCTATGTCGAGGTGCGCGGTACGCTCGTGCAGCGTGTGTTGTACGTATGTTGTCGAGAAAGCCCTAAAGAGAGAGGAGAGGACAAGCTTGGGTGCGTGAACCCCTCGGCGAAATGCGGCGTGATTGGTGCCGGTTCGCGTCCAAGAGCCCATGACCATCACCAGCCAGCAGCCGGGCCAGTAGGCCGGTAAACTATCGATTGTCGCGAAAAAGGAGATCAAACACCTGCCCGAAGAAACAGCACGACACAGAGCACTATAGACTACACGCATGAACTCATGTTTCTGTCTCTGGCGTTGTCTTGATTTATTGCTGGTCCGTATTTCTACGTGGCACCAAGGCAGGGACGAGTCGTCACCAGACTACGTGTACATAGACCATACCGACAACACATAATCAGCTAGGATGTGGCCTATCAGTGTCGTAACACAGAGTAGGTGTAGGGGTTCTGTACCCCGGTGATTCATGGGGGGTGTAGGCTTCACCGCACGCGAAAAATCACATGCTCGAGCTAGCAGAAACGTGTGTTCGCCTGGTCCCACCGCGGCCGCTGCACGTGATCACACATATTTAGTCACAATAGTTAAAGCTACTTGACAAGGGCGCGTATCTCATTGGTCTATCACATGTAGTACGAGTCGCTTGGATTTTGTTCTTTTTACGTAATTGATTCTCAGCGCTGACTAGTCTAGTCTAGTCTAATGGTGTAACTTTATCGAATAAAAGATATGCTCAGAGCTCATTTGCACCCGGCAGGATCACATGTTCGGTTGGTGAGTGAGTAGAGATCTCCGGCAAGCACCATTAAGTTCTTTTCAGGCAGCGTCTGGCGAGGGGTCCATCCCCGGAGATCTCTACTCACGCATAGTTCCAGTGATCCAGGCGGGTGCAAATGAGCTTTGAGCATATCTTTTGTTCGATAAAGTGATACCATTAGACTAGTCAGCGCTGACTGGTAGTCTATTGGTGTAAACTCGCTGACTCTAGTCNTCACCAACCCAGGATGTGATCCTGCCGGGTGCAAATGAGCTGTGAGCACATATTTTATTAGATAAAGTCACACCATTAGACTAGTAAGCAATAGATTCTTCCCCATGGGCATATTCGGTCACGTAAACGAATACCATTCCGGCGACAGCATCATCAGTACAATACTGCTGTACTTGAGGTTTTCATAACAGGGCACATCCATCCGTGCATCCCCTTCAAACGCAAGAAGCGACTCACATGTGACCAAATACGAAATCGGTACAACAACGGCATGCTTGGGACACAGGAACACTAGACTACATGTATTAGTGAGTGTCCAAGGGTGAAAAAACACGATGCAAGAGAATTATTAGCTGTCGTTGTCATCTACGCTTGACAATTTCCAAACACGAGCTTTCCTATTTCACCGAGAGTGCACCATGCCTGGGTTCGCAGCAGAGTGTATTGTCACAAATCAAGCTCGTACACCTGTAAGCAGGACCCTCTCACAAACAATGCCACTGGAAATAGCACACAGGATACAGGCAAGAGGGTAAGCCTCTACTGTAAGGGTGCAGACCTGCCTCAGGTTTCTGGCCGCGCGGACTTAGTAGACTTCCGTCCCACGAACACTCTCATTTTGGCTACAACACAAAGTGGAGCCCGAAACGTAGGCGCGGGTTCGAAAAAAGTGAATCCGGCGACGAAACAAGTGGGACGACGAGAGGGAATAATACCAGTGGCAACGAAGCACAAATAAAAACTTCATATGCCGCTATATGAACAAAGGGGTGCGCAGCGTGAGCGTTCACGAGTCTTGGACTCGGCCGGGGGAAAAAGAAATAGTCCAAGCTGGAAGATGCAGGGTGCCAAAAGCACATATATGGGGACTACAATGAATATTGCTCCGTGGGAGGGTGCATGGCTGGCCCGTCATCTGCATGCCTTTGATGCAGATCACCGACTATCACACACAAAAGGTGGTTCCGAGCAAAAGGGCAAAAACTACACACGCACGCACACACCCGTCCCAACAAACAGAATGCGGGAACTCTGACCTGCCAGCTTCACGGGTCTGGTTGCACCACGACAACCACCGATCTCAAAATGAACTTGTTGGAGGCGATTGTTGTAGAGCAGTGGAATAAATCCAGCACGCGCCGCCACTTAACCGCATAGGAGTTAGCAAACAACTTCAGGCTCAACTGGCCATAAGAAGCGGAGGTGCTCAGTTGAGAATCCTACTGTATGTATGCAGTGCAAAATCACTGGTTGGGCACCTCACGGAGCAACTGCAGAACTTGACGGAAGATCAGGTACTACAACAAGTAAGAGTCCCACAATAACACCAATATCATTGCTGTTGAGTTTTCCCGCAGAGGAAGCAAGAAACGAGCCTTCGGCAAAGATAAGAGGTTCCAATGTTATGTGGTGGGGCCTCCTCCAAGAACTCCTCCAACAGCCATGCTCGCTCAGCAGTAAAAGTATACGATAAGCCCCGAAAATAGCTATTTTACAGGGGCGTGATCCCTCCAAAATTCAACACTCTGCATGTATTTCTCCCGCTCCAAAGGCACTCCAGACCCCCCCTCCTCCTTCCCAAGCGCGTTGCGCATCATGGTGATGGGCTGCATCGGGATCTCGTGGTCCACGTCCTGCGACTTAACCGAGATTATCCCCCACGGGGCCTCCGAGTCTTCCTTTTCCTTCCCCATCGCGGCGGTTTCCTTACGGATCTGTTCTCGGCTGGATACACAAGTCATCGAAAAGCAAGCACGACGGACATACAGAACTAAGTGAAGAACATACATGTATGAATTAAGAGTTAAGGACTTCAGTCGCAGTAACACAGAAGAACGAAAAGCTGACAAATAAAAACAGGCGCGACAGTTAATTGAATCTACACGGAAAATAACAAAATAATCGATGTTGGGTTTTACCCGATTGAAAAAAATAAGAAACAAGCCTCGGACAAATGAACCGTCCCTAAGTGCGGGTACATCCTGTAAGCGTACTCGGGAGCACGAATGACGAAGACTTTTGAGACCAGGAGACTCGGATAGTGGCAAGATTTAAAGGAGTGCAAACTCTGCTCTTGGGGCGAAGTTCGCAGAGGTGCCACAACGTAAATGGAGAGCTCCGTCCAGGTTGACAATCCAGTACATGATACTTAAGATGCCGACACTCGAGGTGCGCGTGCGAACAGAGCACAAAATCTAGGGCTAGACAGCAGTGCACGATGGGGTTGACCTACATCACGACGGCGGTTTCGTGCTTCGGGCGGCCAACACACCGGGCTGCCACCTCCTTACGCTACGTATCGTTGCTGTTGCGGTGCACCAGCATCAAACCTACCGCACGTAAAACTATAATCAGGAGGTTTGTACGTTCCGTCCTTCAGTAGGCAGTGCCGTACCGTTCATGGTTTACATACTTGTCATTCCGTCCCAAGACAGGTTGTGCGCCACAACCACACGCTTGACACAACGTTAAATGGCAGAAAAAAAACGTTCAAAACACATGCGTCGCCGGAAGGACACAATACTATCGGCAACACATGCATCACGGCACCCCAGTCCGAGTGACGTCTATAGAACCCGAAATCAACCCATTGGACTATTTAGTACATGAGCACGAGATGCTCCCGAGCAGCTAGACACATCCGGTTACGAGAGAGAATAAATCACACGAGCAAACCTGTACAAGATGATGTCGAGAAACTTCGCCTCTGGCGTTTCCACCGTGCCGGACTCAAACCATCGCGACAGAATCGGTAGTTCCTGCCGCGGGCCGAGATTCCGTCGCAACATCATCAGCTAAAAGACAAAAGCCACGATAGAAAATGTTCAGAACAAACACAGAACGTCGCAAGAAAGCCTACCAGTTCGAGAAAATTCTCAGCGGGGAGGTATTGAAGCTTCTCAGAGGTGGCACCCTTTGAAGAACTTGTTTTTTTCGCACGGCTTTTCTTGTCTCTCTTCTTGAGGGACCATCACCCCATACCATCATTGGGCAAAAAACATCAGAGCGCTTGTCATCTCTCCTTCTGTACACCTAGAGGGTGGCTTAATGTGCGACGCTGCCCAAGGCCGTATGAACACAATTATTGCAAGAATAATAAGGTGTGAAATGAAGACGACGATGGTGATTACGGCAGACGCCTGCATCGGGGGTCCCGTTGAGGGAATTCTTGCAAAACGGAGGTAGTAGCCAGGACGCTAAGAGGGTAAACACAGGGAAGGCCGGCCGGAATGAAATATCTTTGCTGCAGCTTTGCATTAGTCGCCCTACGTCGAATCACTGCGACAAAGGTCAGGAACACGCAGAGGGCGCTCTGATGGTGGAGGCATTACCATGGAAAGCAGCTCCACCACTGGATCCATGCTTTCGACAGACAGACACAGACGTGGCGAAAAACACTCTGGAACGTAGGCAGGCATGGAGCTGCAGAATTTCAGCAGTATATGCGTTGCACTACATAGAGCAGATTACACTACCTTGGATGTTCGAGCCTCGTAACCAGTGACCAACAGCTTTTCGTTCTCCGGTGTGATCTTGACCGTGCTCGTCTTTACGCCGGCAAAGTTAGGAACGAACACGTGCTTGCAGAACGGGGCGTATCTGCGAATAAAAAACCACGGAGCAGCACGGACGACGAACAACAACAGGAGTGGAGTATACGTATAAGTTCTTTCGTTTTGGGGCGATGCTTGTTTCAGAGGAATTTCGACGTGCTGTTTGTTGTCGTCGTTGAGCCACCCTACACACACCCCGGACGCCCGATACCCCCCCATACTGCCACGCGAACCGGATTCCCGACATGGTACCCCTTACTCATACGCGACACCCCCCGGACGATACACGATACCTCAAAAATACACGACAGCCCTGAATGATATACGACAGCCCCCTCAAGATATAATACATCTCCCAGAGATACAAGACGACACCCGGTGACGCAAACAACAGCAGTAGCAATTCGTCCCCCGCGGCGACCCGCGGACCTAAACGTAGGATACCCCCATACCCCACAAAGTGATATCGCGGTGCGGTTAAGAAGGTGGGCGCGGTACAACCATCTCACCCTTCCTCCAGCTTCCCTCCAGCGGCCCTGAAAACTTCGTTCACCTAGGCTTCCGTCAAGACGTGCCAGGGGTGTCGCGTGATTTCGTGCCGTGTCCAGGTAGGGGGGTTCGCAAACGAGAAAAAGAAAAATAGGTGGGGGGTCGCAAGCTGCACCGTTGCACGACGACGAAGCGAACATGACTCAAACGCTGCTGTTACCGTTCTGCCACGAAACGTTGTCGCTTGAAAGCCAAAGCTACCCACATGATATCTACGAAGCAGGTACGTTCAAGCACGCTCAGCAGTATGTATTCCATATCGCCACATCGAAAAAAAACACTACAAGCGCCAGCGCACAACTGTTTGTTCTTCTGGCGTCTCTGCATCCGTGTGCTCCATTCCTGTATGTTTCAGGCAGGCGTGGTTTCCGCCGAACAACCCAAACTGACTGTTAGCGTGAAAAACATAACAGACGTATTTGACAACTGCATAGGATTTGTTACAATTGGAGACGGTTTTACTTGCATCCACAAACAAAATAACTCATCTATATCGTACTTGCACATAAAATGAGACACGACGTATTTGCTTGCATGCATATAGCCAAATAAAGGAGGAACATTACGAAGACGCTGTGTGATGTCGTACGCATACATACCTTATCCTCGAATTCCTGTGGGTCGTAGGCCACCTTGGTCCCTGTGTAGCTCTCGTCCGTAAATTGTCGCATCGCGAAGGCGTCTGGTTTATCGTTTATCGCGCCAGTTGCCAGCGTGACAGGGGGGGAATGGGGGCAAGGTCTCATTGAACACTTGCGGCATTGATGAAGTAGAGGCATCAGATGTTGAAAAACCGGAGTCGTAAACGTACATGCATACCGTAGTCCACGGCGCTCGAGACCCAATAACATCTCCACAGTGGTATTCCAAGACATGGTGTTAAACTCAGATACACACAGCCGGCAATCATTGACTTGGATTTATCTAACGGCAGTGAGGGCCGATTCTGCGGCGGCCGTGGCCTGCTGCTCTCACCCATTACGAGCTCGTTGCCTCCTGGAGTCGACATTGCCGTGGTTGTGCTCTGGCCAGAAGAAGTGAGCAAGAGCGGGGGGAGGGGGGAGCTGGGATCATGACGCGCTGACAACACCATCGCAAGCAACGGAGTGCGCGGCGTGTTTGCACTACAGTAGTACACCTTGAAGACGCGTGAGAAATTGTACCGTACCATACGGCAGGGCATCATACGCAACAGAAGAGGTAAGGCTACCTACCGACGGGTGCATTCTCCATGAACAGCAGATACTGCTGTTGGTGTGACGCAATAAAGCACACCCCACAGCAGAGGTACAGCAGCACTGTAGCAATGGTAATGTTTTCTGCAACGGCCGGGCCAACCACCTTGGTGTCTGTACGGCAGTGCAGGGATCAAACATGACAGCAGCAGGTACTGATACCTATCACAGGCATGCCCAGCACCGAGATGGATATGACGCAAGAGAGCACACCCCACAACAGGAGTTAGGCGGCAGCAACGTTGCCCGTAATCAGAGGGCCAACAGCTAAATCGTGATTCAGCCCCTTCAACGACAAGGCTGAATGCTGAATGCAGTACGTACAGTCAGCGTCCCCCTCCAGAGGGAGCCGCTGTGTAGGCGCCGAACTCCCTCATCAGCCCGTTGCTGTCTCAACACAACAACCTATGGATGAACTTCGAACACACCTTGTATCCTCTGCGGGATGCTGCTGCTGGGAATCCGAGAGGGCACGGCCGCGCTGCTGCTTGGATCCGGAAAGCGCAAGTGGTTGAGGCGCGAGCAGCGAACAACAGAGAGCACGCGGCTGCTCGAATCCCCATGGACTTGTGTGTCCTCTTGCCTCTCTCTCTCATGAACGGCGGGCCGACTCTCATGGACACAGAGACAAAAAACAGGGGATGATAGGGAAGCGACCCCGTTCTCCGGCGCCTGCCTCCATGGACCGGCGGGCAACAGCAGCAGGCCGGGGTCTCCCACACACTCCTTCTCCGCAACAACCCGTAACACCAGGTGAGAGCTCGTCCTGCCCTGTGCTTGAAAGTGGTGCTAGGAGGTAGGGGTGGAGCTGTTTTGTGTATCGCGTGCCGGTATGGAGCTTGGTAATGCTCTTTCGCCGTCTATCTCCGCATGTTGTTTTCGCGCTGAACGAGAGACACGTATGCACGCATATGCATTTGCACCTAGAGACAAGAGCCCAGGGAGACGAACAGCAGAAGCGGGATGCATACGCGTACCCAGCAGGTATTTTGATCAGCATCGCTTTTGGAGCTGGACGCTTTACCACGGCCACTACCGCATCTTTGCTTGACCCGCTCGCCCTCCCACCACCCCCCTCCTCCCGTCAGATCCAATCATGTTCGCAGCAGCAGCATCGGCAGCTAAGGCCCCCGCGGCTCAGGTCGCGCGTGGGTTCACCTCCAGCGCTTCCCGCATGTCTGGCCGCAAGTTCTTCGTCGGCGGGAACTGGAAGTGCAACGGATCCGTCTCGAAGGTAGGGGGGTTGGAATAGTCTTGCACGTTCCCACGGGAAGAGCAAAGCGTGCACGCTCGCGTTGCCGAGCGTGTCTGATCCTTTTTTTTGCTGTGTTTGCATCACCCGCGAACGACAACAGCCGCTCGCCGATAGTGCACCATTTCATCCTCCGTAGTGCCATGCTTGTGCGACGCCGACTTCCTGCCTGCCAGACCAAGCCTCGAACATTTAGTTGGGAGAGAGAGAGCGCCTGCAGCCGGCCTCTGGCGTATATAGTGCACCATTTCTTCCTCCGTAGTGCCATGCTTGTGCGACGCCGACTTCCTGCCTGCCAGACCAAGCCTCGAACATTTAGTTGGGAGAGAGAGAGCGCCTGCAGCCGGCCTCTGGCGTATATAGTGCACCATTTCTTCCTCCGTAGTGCCATGCTTGTGCGACGCCGACTTCCTGCCTGCCAGACCAAGCCTCGAACATTTAGTGGGGAGAGAGAGAGCGCCTGCAGCCGGCCTCTGGCGTCGACAACCCCCGCGATGGCTTTGTGCCCGCTTGCATCAACCGCAGCCGCCGTCGTAAACGAATTGCACGGAAAAACGGTACTCTGCCAGTCCGGCAGTTCCCCGACTGTTCGGCGTTAGGAGCGGTTCTTGGATATGATCTGTATGAAGCACATGAGGCGCACCGCGTGAAGTTTTCTTGCCATCTCGATGTTCGGGGGTTTTGGAGGTAATGTCCACGTCGGACATGCAGGCACTGCTGCTGTGATGGTCGCGTCCAGTTCGACCCACAGGCCCTCTTGTTGCATACCAGCCCGCAACAACAATGGCGTTTGCATGGCCCGCGCGTGTGCATGACGTCGACGCTGTCACCAACGAGCAGGTTGACGAGCTTGTGGGCGTGCTCAACGCCTCCAACATCACTTCCACCACGGAGGTGGTTGTGGCGCCTCCCTCCGTCTACCTCCACGGCGTCTCTCAGAAGCTCCGCGGCGACGTCAAGGTATTGTACAGCAGGACATTGGGTCGCGACATTGTCTTGCCTGCCCGTCGGTTGTATTTTGGGCCGGCCGTGTGTGCCAATTTTCCGTGTTCCACGCGAACTTCTTGACGATCGCGGAAGGCAGTATGTGTCGTCCATGAACATGACATCATCATGCTGCAACGACAATGCAAACATAGGACAAAGATATTCCGATTGACGTTCGTGTGCGTGCGTGTGCGTGTGCGTGTTGTCTGAGCGGCAAGCTCGTAGCGCAATTTTGGTGCCTACGCCGCTACGTACGGACGCGATCTGCAACCCCAATCCCCTAAATCATGGGATGGCCAGTCCGTGCCTCCCGAGAGGTGCATGTATAGCCAATGTACAGCGAGAGCAAGCGGCGCGCCTACACGTCATTCGGGTGGTCCCATGTACAAGTACGTGCGTTGTGGACGCATGGGCTGTGAGCTACATGGTGGGTGTAACAAGTGCAGAGCCGCAGCAGTTCCTCACGGCGTTGTGTGTATGTCTCGGAAAGACAATGACGGGGGTGGGAGCGGCTTCTGCCGTGCATTTTGGGCATGATACGAAGTTGTAAGCGAAACCGGCGTTTGGAGTCTAGCTATCGCGCTTGATTCTTTACCCCCAGCACGAGACCAAGACGTGGAGTTGTTCGGTTACACAGCCGGTGCGACTTTGCCAGGTTGAATATACGTGTACTTGTGGTACAGTACGGAGTATTGCTTTCGAGCAAACCTGACGAGGAGACCATACGGGTTTGCACATGCCTGTAACTCTTTCCCACCATCGCCATGACGTTGGGCTGCTGTCCCGAAAAGCCCACCCACACTACTGACAAAACTAGCTGCTACACAACTACATGCGACCGGCCCGCTCAGAGGCCCAACGAGGCAGCGCTGCTGGTTGAGGGCTCATCGTTCGAACTTTTTTCTTTTCAAGGGTTTGCATTTTTTTTAGTGCCGTATGCCATGCATGTGTGCATCTACACCCTTGTATTGCGGTTTGTGTCTTCTTTCCGGCGAATCGTATCAGACATGTCTGACGTGGCGCCGAGAGCCACAAAAGACCAGTCGGCGCGACTGGTCGCTGACTGGTCGCTGACTGGTCTACGGGCTTGATTTGGGCAGTGTTTTTTCCTTGAGAACTGGATTATCTTGGATAGCACAGCCGAGATCAAACCATCGGACCAGTTCACAGCCGATTGGGTCACCCAGATAGCACCCGCCTGCAAACAGACTGGTCTAATTATTTGTTTTTCGTCAAAGGTGAAAAAGAAAAATCACAAGTTATCCCAGACTCTTAATTCGTTTGTGGATAGGGCTGACACAAGAACAAGCTCAAGACGCATGTTCATCATCCTTCTGTTTCTCGTGTGCTGCCGCGCGAGCGAAAGTTGACGCTTGTGCTGCCGCGTGTTGACTTGACAACGAACTGAATGGCCCAGCCGTCCATCTTCCGACCGCCATTACCTTCGCTGCCTGCAACGTGAACGCAGGTGTCAGCGCAAGACTGCTGGACCAGCGGCAACGGCGCCTACACGGGGGAGACCTCTGCCGACATGCTCAAGGACATGGGCGTCGGATGGTGCATCATCGGACACTCAGAGCGAAGGCAGAAGGTACGGGGGGACTGTGGACAGGATGATATCAACACGGGGGGTACACGCGGCGCACAGAATGGGGCTTCCGAAACAACTCAGTCGGAGGAGGAGCCCAACGCGGTCTGAGATTCCTCCAAGTTCAAGTTCACCGACACATTCGTTGGAACACGCCACACAGCAGTAGTAGAAACAGCGGCGTGGCACATGGGAGGATTGGTAATTGGTAGACACACTGGTTTATGTGCATATGCAGGTGATCTGCACTAGCGAACCAAAATGTTCCTGGGGTTGGTTGATTCGATCGATGCACCTTGACTAGTTTGCCTTGCGTTTGTAAGAAAAAAAAGTCATCAACGAAAAAAACTTAAAAACCAAACACCGCTTCCCGAACCGCAGAGCGTGCTGGTGTTGGCTTTTTGTTTTGAGCAATTTTCGTGGGCAGGCTTGGGCTAGGTTAAGGTAAGGCACTTCAGGTACTGTTCTAACCGTGCGCGTTTGTCCTTGCCCCTGCTGCTGGCGATGTCACGATGCGATGCGATTCATTGCGACTCTGCTATGGTAACTCTAGGGCGAGACGAACGAGGAGTGCGCCGCGAAGGCTGCCTACGCTCAGGAGCACGGCCTCTCCGTGATGGGGTGCATCGGAGAGAGCAAGGAGGAGAGGGAGTCGGGGTAAGAAGTGAAATAATCCATTCTTTTGTTGTTTAACCGTATGTGGTCCATTTGTATGAATGTTAAGACCTAGAATCGTTTGTTGTCGACGCATGCAAGGCGCATGTGTCCGCTCCTAGCTTCATGTCAAGAGCTACCGCACTAGGTTCCACGGTACCAAACAGGCAGGTCCATTTTCCGACAACTTGTGTGGTCTTCATTTACCCTTACCCTTTCCAAGACACATTTTTGCTGTTTTTTCCTCTCGTCGTCTTCTGTTGGAGTATGGTTGAAGCTGAACATTTTTTTTGTCTCTTTCGTGGCTATGCTTAAAACAAAACTCGACGTTGGTCCTCCTTTCCTTTCCAGTGCATATGTTGATGCTTCTTCTTCACCGTCTCCTAGAGTACGGTCGAACGTTTTTTGTTTTTTTCTTATTATGACACATCGCGTCCATTTCCATCCTAAAGAAACGAGGCTAAGATAGATTGACATTGAATTCAAGGCGTCAGCGGAAAACTACCCGATTTTTGTCTTGAATTTTCTTCGTGCCGGTGCCTAAGCGAAAAAACCTCGACGATGGTCCGCCCTTTCCTCTTCGGGACACGTTTATTTTCTCACATCCCTTGTTAAGCATGATGACTCCGATTAATTTTTTCATTTTTTTTGTTTTGTTTTCTCGTGCACGTGCTTTGGCGAAACAAGGGCGACGATGGACGTGGTGATCGGGCAGCTCAAGGCGTATGCTGCCACGGTGAAGGACTGGGACAAGTTCGTCATCGCGTACGAGCCCGTCTGGGCCATCGGCACCGGCCTCACCGCCTCGCCCGAGCAGGCTCAGGAGGTACGTACGTACGTTTGCTGCCTGTGCATACCACCCTGTTGTTGCTGCTGTATTTGTTGGGACCGCGCCTTCGCGCGATATTATGATTATGGGGAAATAGAATTAAGGAAGGGGTACGCAGGCCTCATCTACATGCCTGACCTTAAACCTAACCCAATTTCTCTCATCGCATGCTTTGTCCGACATGTTCATTTGGTAGAAAATTCTTGCAAACGCTGCTGTGTTTTTGGGTGTGTTTGGACCACTGGCTCAGGAGATACAGGCCGCGTTGTTGTTCCTGCTGCTCT